AATCATATGCTGCTCTATTTATAAAGATGAGAAGTAGATGCTTGCTTAGTATTTGATAACACATCAGTTCTTTCTAGCAATTTCTCCCAGCTTTATGCAGAAAATACTTCATATTGCAACTTTTTGCAACCGTTCTCTCTTGCCCAGTTTAACCATACAAAATTCTTCACGAGCCCCGTTCCTACCCTTCCACTGCCAGGCACACATCCTCTTCCATCCCAGCCTTCCACGGAGTTCCTGGGATCTGGGCAGCTGTTTTGGGCGGCGTTTCAAAGCAGCCTGGCTCAGCTGGCGACAAGGCAGGGACCCACCTGCTTTAGCCCTAGTGCAGCTTTTTGTGCTGCTAAAAGTGCAGTATTGATCTACGCTCATTGCTACAAGATTTGTAAGGAGCTCAGGCTGTGGTCATGAGCGATCCAAGAGCTTTCAGTGTTTCAGGAAAGAATGAGTTTGCTACTGAATAAAACAGCCTTCAGTTCAATTCTACCCCTCCGAAGCTCACTGGGAGGCACTAGATATCCCCTAGGCTCTTTGACATTGAACAGTAGGACACAGACACCAAAACACGGCAATGACACGCTAAGAAAAACAGTGGCACTATGAAGAAGGAAACAAGGCTTGTATAAAAGGCATACCTAAACACAAGTCTCATGCTGAGCCCATAAGCAAGTCCTTAAAACCCAGACTCTGCAATAGTCAACCAAAAGACAGAAAGTAAGAGATGCACCGGCAGCCATGCAGAACACCCCCTTAACAAACCAGCAAAGTGCCTGTCGGCTGGGAATTCGAGTCACACAACAGGGGAGGCCTGACCCCAAACTGCATGCAACCTTACAGCAGAAAGGCCAACACACGCGCCAGCACAACAGATCCAATCATTGCACTAAGCGTTCATCTTCAGGTGGAAAATACAGACTCTATCAGTGAAACTGGACCTCGGTTTAGTCACTTTGCTTTTACTTTTCTTTCCCAGTAAAAGTATGCGGATATATAGCCATTTTTTACAAAAATGCTCGAGTCATGCTTCCCACGGCATGCTTATTTTTCCCTCATGACCCGTTTGAAGCATTCAGCAACTCCTCCCAGTCAGCCAGCAGGACAAGACACAAGACAAGCGCCCTGGTGCTGGTTTTTCATGCCCTTCGCGTGCGGCAGCGCGTCTGAACGTCATGCAAGGTGAGCAGGCAGCAGGCACAGAAAACAAAAACGTATCCCCAAAGGGGAGAGCTCGAAACATCCACTGTGACAACGTAACTCCAGTCAGCCTGGGAAAGCGGGGCTGGTTCTCCCTGCTGCACGCGAGCGTCGCGCTGCAGCAGCTGCAGCGGCTGG